AACATAAGGACAACTCTCCTTGAAAGAAAAGCAATTATTTCCATTTTGGCTAAACCTGGCCCTATTTCCATGTATTAATATGTGCAGAGCTGGCTAGGATTCTTCCTTATCGCTTCAACTGCCTTTAAACAATGTGACTTGGTCTGCCCAAACTGCTGATACGTAGTCTTTGAAGCAAGGCAACATGACAGTACTTCCCTTTCCTGTAGCTCCCAAAAAACATATGTGAGCTGGACTGGAAGAAGGGCCAGGCTCCAGGCTATTGGTTGGGACCCAGCTTCAAGAGGCCATGGCTTCCCACGGCATAAAAGATTACACAACAGAGCTGAAGTGCAAAACATTAGATACTATCTTGAATTGTGTTGTGTAGATTACTCTTTATGCATATCCTTCTCTCTGCATATTACAGAGGTGATTTCAAGCCTCCTATCTAGCCCGGTTCACAGCACTCGCATATATCCTGCTATTCTCATAAGTCACTCATCTTTAAGCCACTCCTTTCTTCATGAATTAATAAAATCTACATTTGGCCCTGGTTCTATGCTTTTCTTCTGGTTAACCATCACACTAGCTGGATTTAGGACCCCCTTGGCTCCCCACAACCATAGATATGCCTTAGTGTCTTTATTCTCTTAGTGGGTTGCACTGGAAGTGGTAGATTAGAATTAACTCCTAGAATTCCAATAACTTTTCCATGAGATTACAAATATAAACTTCCTGAACTGTGATGATGTCTGGGTAGAGCTCTCTATATAGGATCACTGTGAGTTCAAAGCCAGCCTGCGATATGTAGTGGCTTTAAGGCCACCTTGGACTATGCAGCAAGGCTGTATCTCAAAAGAAAAGAAAAGAAATTCAAAAGTTATCAGAAAAAAGTGATACAGTGATATTCCTGGTGTCTTAATTATTTTTTTCTCTTTGCTGAGACAAAATACTTGATACTCACGAATTAAGGGAAGAAAGGTTTACTTAGCTCACAGTTTGTAGAAGTTTCATCTCATAATTGGCAGGCTGCAAGGCAGATAGGTATCTCAGAAGAAAAACCGTTCATGGCAGGCAGGAGGTAGCAAAGCAACAAGGAACAACCACAGCTATTTCTATCACTTATTTCTTATCCAAACTACTTAGGGGAGGTAACAGTCATTTCTGTAATCCTACTGCCCTTGATCCTGGCACTACCCCATGTGCCAATCCCAGAGCCACACACTCTAGATCCATCCACCCTTGAAAAAACCCTAACTATGACCCTATGGGGCTTTGGGAGGACATCTAACATTCTGCCCTTAGTATTTGCTTTGTTTGTTTTGTTTTTGGTACCAGGGATCAAACTCATGACCTTGTGCTTTCCAGGCAGGTGATTAGGCTGCTGAGCTAAATCCCCAGCAACATTCTGCCCTTGGCCCCCAGAGCTCCTGCACATCCCTTTATGCAAAAGGCATTTAGTCCATTGCTAAGAGTTCACCAAGTCCAAAGAGCTTCAGCATTGCCTAAAAGTCCAAGTCCAAAGTCTCCTTTGAGATGTAAGGCAAACTCTTGGCTACGAGCCTCTGCACAAATGAAGAAAGTTAAGCATTTCCCACAAGATAATGGCACAAGATAGACATTTACATTCCAAAAGTTACAAACAGGAGAGATAGTAAGGAATGGAAACAAAACAAGACCAAATCTAACAGGACAAACATTAAGTCCCATAGTTCCACTTCCATCATCCTTGGCAATCTGTCGCAAATTGTGAACTCCAAAGGGCTCGGGTAACTCTGCCCCTATGAGACTGCTGGTGGCTACAGAGCTTAGGGTTTCTCGCTTGGGCTAGTTCTACTCCCTCCTTGCAGCTTTCCAAGATGATCTACATTACTGGCTTCTCCAACCTTCTGGATTCTCAACTGCACCTTCGACTTCACACTTATAGCTCCATATACTTCCCTCTCAGGGGCACACTGTCTGGCCTCCCAGGCTTTCTTCTGAAACCTAGATGGAAGCCTTCTTGACTTCACAGCTCTGGGATTCTGCATGTACCTAAAATCAGTGCCACATGGATGATACTAAGGTCTGTTGCCTGTTGGAGCAATAGGCATGCTTCCCTCTCTCTTGGCTGCTGGGGTCAAGTACCTAAATCTCTGAGCACTCTGAATTGAATTCCAAGGAACAAATTCTGTAGGCCACCACCATTCTTTTTTTTTTTTTTTTTTTCTGTACCGGGAATCAAACTCACAACCTCACGCTTGCCAGGCAGGCACTTATGCCACTGAGCTAAATGTCCAGCCCCACCACCATTCTTAATATGGTGCTCTGCAGCTTTCTTCTCAAAGCAAAATCTTTCTCTTTTGCAATTTTGAGGCTGCAAAGAACAGTCTTGCTCCTTCTTGTGATGCCCCCAGGCCATCTTTTGTATTCTGCTGTTACTTCTCAGTAATCAAGATCTCTATTCTATCTTTGCAATCAATAGCTTTACTACAACTTCCTTTCTGGCCAAACTCAAAATATCTTAAATCATTCTGCAGGCCTCTTTGCTCTTGAATCTCAAAATAGATCTGGCTAAAAGTCCCCCATGCCAAGGTCTCAACATTAGATGCTTTGAAATTTCTTCTACAAGACTGATTAGTCCGCCACTCTTAGTCCTAGTCTCAGGCAAAGTCTCTGGACATAAGCAAAATGTAAATATTCTGCCAAGCTATAACATACCTCATCTGAAGTCCAACAGTCTTTCTGAAAGAAAGACCAATACAGTCTTTCTTTCCAGCAGAAACCTGCTGAGCCTGGTCTATACCAACAGATTTTCTATCAGCATCGTGGTCTTCTGAGCTCTGACCAGAATCTCCCATACAGAGTGGCCTAAAGCGCTTCAGCTCCACTTTTTCACCTGGCATCTCCAAACGTTTCCTAATTCTTCTCACAAGTGAGTCTCAAAGGCTCTTGAACTGCATGGTCAGGTACAGTCACAGCAATGATCCCACTTCTCTGGTACCAAATTCTGTTTTAGTTACTTCTCTCTCATTGGTGAGACAAAATACCTGACATGCAAAGTTAAAGGGGAAAGCTTTATTTAGCTCACAGTTTGTAGAGGTTTCAGCCCATAAATAGCTAGCTCTAAGGTAGGGTGGCATGGCAGTCAGTCAAACACCTCAGAGGAGAAACAGTTCCTGGTAGGCAGAAGGCAGCAAAACAAGAGAGGACCGCAAATCTTTCTATCCCTTAACCAGGATACTCAGGGCAGCTAGCACTCACACTCTTAGTCCTAGTGTCCTTCATTCTAGCATTGCACCATGAATCATTACCAGGGTCACACACTCTAGATCCATCTGCTCCTGAAAAGACCCCATCTATGATTCCATGAAGCTTTGGGCCAGACATCTAAACACAATCCATAACACCTGGCTATTTAAAAAAAAACCTAAAAATATTTATAGATTAAAAAAAGAAAGTTGTCAGGTGTGGTGGCACACACCTGTAATCCATGGCACTCAGAAGGCTAAGCCAGCAAGATTATTGTGAGTTCTAGGCCAGCTTGGATTACACAGTGAATTCAAGACCAGCCCAAACTATGCAGTGAGACCCTCTCTCAACCCTTTCCCCAAAAATTGAGGACTGAAGATGTAGCTCAATGATAGAGTACTCCTAGATTCAATTCCCAGTAACCCAATGAAATAGTTGAAAAGACAAATAAGAAATAGAAAAAAATACACATTTAACCCACATCAGAAAAATGATTAGTAATAATACATGAAGGGCTCCTAGTACTCTGTGAGGCTGAGGCAAGAGGATCACAAGTTCAAGGCCACCTTGGGCAATTTATCAAGTCTCTGTCTCAAAAAATAAAAAGGGCTGGGAATTTAGCTCAGTATAAAGGACCCGCATTCAATCCCCAGTACCTGATACTCAAAGTTAAAGGGGAAAGCTTTATTTAGCTCAATAAATAAAGCTCCAATAAATAAATAAAAAGATAATGAGACCATTATAAAAATAAGAACAATATTTAAATGGGAAACTTCCAAAAATGAAATCAAGATGTTTAGTAAATATGTAACATTATGTTCAATTTGATTAATTAAAAATTAATTTAAAGTAGAATTTAAAAAAATAAAGAAATTATTTATTCATTCTATCATATTACAAAGATGAAAACTAATAATATTTAGCACATGAGAGGTTATAGGAGAAATAAGTACTTTCATAGACTCATACTACAAAATGCTCTCATATATATATATATATATATATATTTTTTTTTTTTTTTGCCTTTTCCCTTTTTATCAGTACCGGGGATCAAACTCACGACTGCCTAATTGCAAGGCAGGCGCTTATGCCGCTGAGCTAAATCCCCAGCCCCAATATATTTTAATGTATATACATATATGCACATACACAGATTTGATAATTGTGGTATTGTCTCTAACAACAAAAGAAGAGAAAAAACTAAAATATGCACTCATAGTAGCTTGGTTAAGTAAACTATAGTACAACCATACCCATAGTTACTGAAGAGAACGATGTGATTGGGTAACTAAATAACCATGAACAGAATTTTCACTTTATAGATACATTCTATTTATATAAAATTTTTTCTTTTTTAAATTTTTCTTGAGACAAGGAAAACAGTTTGGAATTTTCATATAAAGTTAAACATATATTGATCATGTAAGTCAGCCCTCTCACTCCTGGGTATACTACTTATCAAGAAAAACATAAATTTCTAAGGCATTACATTGGATAAAATAAGTCAGTTTCAAAAAGGTGCATGTAATTCCATGTATATGACAGCCTTAAAAAGAAAAACATAAAACTACAGGAAAAGTAAAGATCAGTAGTCCCAGGAACTGCAGAAGAGAGAGCCCTGAATACAAAGGGATATGAAGGAGGAATTTTTTAGTGAATTGAACTGTATCCCATGGGTGATGCTGATTAGAAGAATCTAGGCATGTGTTAATACTCACAGGACTGCATGCTTGAACATAAATTGAAAGAATTTACTAAAAAGAAATGGTCATCAGCAGTAACAATACCTTCCATTTCTCGGTCTAGGGGTGGAACATCATCTCTTATAGAGAAATCCATAGCTGTCCCTGGTATGTCCATCAGGTCTTCGTCACTGGAGCTGCTCTGAAAACTACTAAAACTTCCCTGCTGAAAGCCTCTGTTATCCATGGCTCCTGTGCAGAAGGAAAAACAAAAGGATGATAACAAAGTCCTCCCAACTCCTCACCACTTTTTCTTTTTTCTCCCCATATACCACTTGAATGATTTTAAAACATCCAATTCAGTAGCACTGAGTACACATGTAATGTTGTCCAACCATCATCACTATCCATTTCCAGAACTCATCATCCCAAACAGAAACTCTCCATCCAGGAAACAATGTATTCCCATTCTTCAGTCCTTGGTAAAATCTATAGTACTTTCTGTCTCTACAGATTTGCTGCCACTGAATATTTCATATAAATAGAATCATACAGTGTGTCTGATTTCTTTGATTTAGTGTGTTTTGAAGCTCTTTCATATTTCATTTCTTTTCCAGTACTAGGGATAGAACCCAGGACATCACACATGTTCCAAATGCTCTTCCACCTGAACTACACCTCTAGTCATTTTTATTTGTTTAGTTTTGAAACATGATATCACTAAGTTGCCCAAGCTGACCTCAAACCTGCAATCTTTCTGTCTCAGTATTCCTGGGTGTGGTGAGATTACAGAGATTACAGACACGTGCTACAAAAATTTTCTTTCTTTTTGAGACAGGATATTACTAGATACTCCAGGCTGAACGTGATCTCACTACGTAGCCAAGGCTGGCCTCAAATTCGCAGTTCAACTGCCTCACCTTCCAGAGGGCTGGAATTACAATTATGTACCACCATGCCCAGCTAATTTTTCCTACATTATAGTCCCAGCACAGATGAGGAAACTGAAGCTCAGAAATGCTAAGTAACTTTCTCAGGTAATACTTTTTTCAAAGGAAACGCCAAATCATGTGCTCAATTTCACAATACCCCACTTGTGATAAGGTGACTAGCCTGACTTAAGTGTGAGTGACACTTAGGAAACATTACTAACTATGATTCATTGTGTGATAATGAAACAGAAAAAAATGACACTGTGTAAGGCAGAAGAGATAAAGAGGGGAGCAAACATTTGGGAATTAACTTCATCAAGGTAGTGGTTGAAACCAAGACAACAGATACTGTAAGTGCTTTTGTGTACTTAAGAGTAACTATGAATACAAGTAAAAGATGCATTCTCAGTATCCTGTAGTATACACAAATAGCTTCAATCTGTGTAAATGGGAACTAAATAACAGGTCACACCATTTTTTGATTATATATTGTAAGGAAGAGAATTAGCAGCCCAAGGTGCTAATTAATGTATATAATTATTGATGATAACACCATTTTCTTAAGTACAAATGCCAACTTTGCTGTGTGATTATTAAGTGGGTCTTGGGATACTATGAATACAGTTTTTGCAACCTTTGTCAAGTTCCTTTTCTGCAACCAATAATCCATCCTTGCTAGACTTTTCCCCCTGTACCCTGATTCCTTCACTCATCTTCTCCTGACAGCAACTCCATACTAATGAACCTTTTAAAATTCCCTGTCTCAGCTTTCACTTCTAGGGGATTGGACAAAACATACAACTAGTGACAGATTTTTCTCTTATTATTAACAACACATACAAAATCTTACTTCTCTCTGTCATCACTCCATCATTCTGAGAAAGTATTTTACTCTTTGTTTATTCTTTCATTCTGTATTAATATTGGTGAAATTGTTAACAGTGAATCTATAAGAATCTTTGGACTTTAGGAAATATGCTATCTCATATAGGTTTATTTCCTTCTAAAAGATTAAATTTTTTTACTGTTTTACAAATAATTGTAGTTATTTGTAAGTAACTGAGGAGTACTGTAACACTCAGGAAGGATAAAACCAGCAAACATTGTTGGGTAATATTCATATAACATAACATTTGAATTAACAACAGCACTATACAGAATCACGTGAAAAAACTGCCAACTTACAGGCTTATTTCACTTCCAAAGTATATTGTTCCTTGGGACACTACTGTATTTATACAAAGTACACTAGGCATATAAACATATTACCATTTATTTTACTTATAAGTTGACTCACCATTGCTAGCACACAGGGCCATACACATAAACATATAACCTGCAACAGCTACAACTGAGGCTAAGTACTTACATCTTAATATTTTCCCTCATATATGCTGTCCTCCTTTATGGAAATGCACTCCTTTATGTTCGACAGTCTTTGGTTTTGTTTTGTTTTGCTTTGCTTTCTATGTTGTGCTGTGTTGTTTTGCTTGTGGTGCTGGTGATAGATCCAGGGTCTCATGCCTGCAAGTCAAGTACTCTACCCCTGAGCAAGACCCTTCATCCTTCTGTCCATGCTTTTTTACTCTTGGCTTTGAATTTGACATCAGCGTATGCTTTCAAGCCATCAGCATGTCTACAGTGAGTGCTAATTGTCTCCCACTCCCCCATTTATCAAATGATACTGGACAAGATTCAAAATTTAGGAAAAGATAAATTTTCTGAAAAATGACAGATGAAGGACCATATAAAATAGCTACCTGAAACAGATCTTGCTTTGTATATATTTTTTGTTTTGTTTTGTTTTTGGCTTTTTGGCTTTTTGGTTTTTTTTGGTACTGGGAATTGAACTCACGACCACACACTTGCAACAGGCACACTGCCGAGCTAAATCCCTGGCCCTGTATATGTTTGCAATATATAATACTTACATTGATCTTGGGGAATTGGTACATATGCATATTGCATCTTCGTCATTTTACTCCCCCTCCCCACTCTACTCTCCTTCTCCCCACAGTGTTTCGCATCTCCACAGTCTACATTCCTATTTCTTATCATTTCTCTTTTATTTTGCTCATTTAATTATGTATACTTTTAGGTCTCTCATATTTGAGAAACCATGCAATATTTAATCTTTGGTGTCTGATTCATTTTACTTAGCATTATAGTGTAAAGATACATCCATTTTCCTACAAATCATTCAAATGTATCCTTCTTTAGGGCAGAGTAGTACTCCATTGTGTATATATACTACACTTTCTTTATCTATTCATCTGTTGATGGACTTATAGGCCACTTCCAATATTTAGCTATTATGAATGATGCTGCTATAAATATGAATATTCACATAGAACTATAATATGATGTCTTTTAATTCTTTCCGGAAGATACTCATAAGAGGTACAGCTTTATCAAAAAGAATTATTTATCCCTCCTCCTCTTACTTTTTTTTTGGATCAAACTTGCGACCTAGTGCTCCCCAGGCTAGCATTTGTATCACTGAGCTAAACCCTGGGCCCCCTCCTTCTTTTTTTTGAGATAGGGTCTGTATGCAGTATAGCCTAGGCTGGCCTCAAGTTCACAGTGATCCTCTTGCCTCAGAGTCCCAAGTTCTGGGTTTACAGGCATATACCAATACATCCATCTGTCAAGCAGAATTTCTATTTTTAGTTTTTGAGGTATCTCCATATTGATTTCCACAGTGGTTATATGAATTTACATTCCCACCATCAACATTGAAGTTTGCTTTTTCCCCTCGATCTTGCCGGCATTTAGTTTTTTGAGCACTTGATAACAATCATTCTTGTTGGAGTAAGACGGAATCACAGAGTTGTTTTGACTTGCTTTTCTCTAATGTCCAAAGTTGCCAATCATTTTTTCATGTATTTATTGGCCATTTTTCTTCTCCTGAGAATGTCTATTCATAAATACCTTTCAGTAATAACTCTCGATGTAAACGATCTTAACCCTCAAATCAAAATACGGAGATTAGAAGATTGGATCAAAACATAAAACCCACCAGGTGTGATAGCATACTCCTATAATTCCAGCACTCAAGTGGCCCAGGTAAGAGGACCACCTCATGTTCAAAGCCACCATGGACTATATATTGAGTCCAAGAACAACCTGAACACTGTCTCAAAATACTCAAAAAACAAAAAAGAAATAAAAAAAACCCCACAAAAACAACTAAGGTGTTGCCTACAAGAGATATCCACAAAGAAACACACAAATTGTAAGTAAAATAATGCAAAATAAAGGGGCGGGGGGGGGGGGGATATGGCTCAGTGACATACTGCCTGCCTGGAAAGTGTGAGGTCCTGAGTTTGTCCCAGTACCAAAAAAAAAAAAAAAAAAAAAAAAGACAGAAAATGACACTCCATGCAACAGGAGTCCAAAAGCAAGCAAGAGTAGTTATCCTATTTTCTAACATAGTGGACTTCATACCAAAACTGATTAGAAAAGACAAAGACAGTCACTACATACTGATAAAGGGAAGAATTCAACAATAAGTGTCTCAGCCTATATATGCAACAAAAGCTGGTACATCCAATTTTATAAAACAAAAAAGCTACTGAATATAAAAGGTCAGATAAATAGTAAAAAAATCACTGCAGGTGACTCCAATATTGCACTCTCATAAATAGGTGAACAAGACTCCCCCACCAACATACCATCAAATGGACCCAACAACAGAATACACAGTTTCTCAGCAGCACATGAAACTTTCTCCAAAATAGACTGCACCTTAAGTCATAAAGCATACTTAAATACAAAATAATGGAAATAATCTCTTGTTTCCTTAAGGTTTACAATGTTGACACTCTATGAAATTATAAGCCAATTGTTTTGCAGACAGTCTCTTGATTCTGCTTTATCTGATGTTTGCTCATGAAGATTCAAGGTATGCATCTTTGGCAGGAATAACAGAGAAAGTAATGCCATGGTTTTCTAATTGTATCCTATCAGAAGGCCTGTGATTTTTATTTGTCCTATTGATTATGATGTTTATTTGATCACTTGATAAAAGCAGTATCTTCTAGGCCTCTCCTGCTGTTAATACATTTTTTGTTATGTTAATACATTTTTTACCTGGTAATAGAGATTATTTTCTGATAAGGTACTTTGACACTAAGTAAATAAACCATTTCCTATAAAATATTTATTTAATCATTATGTATTTATATATAAGTGGTCTCCTGGATCATTCATTGAGTTATAACCCATGAATATCATTTTTTAGAGGCCAAATTTTCAACAAATGTAGCCAGTGGGAACTTCTTTCATGCCAGCTACTGTCCTTTTGACATGTTCCCATAG